GCTATTGGTTGGCGTCAACATACCCACCTCTTTTTGACAGAGGTGCTACGTCGTGCTGTATGTATACGTTGTGGTCATGTGTCAATAGCAATCATATGTCTTATATGCAACTGTGAAACAGGTAGTCCATTTGTGCGGAGGGGTATCAAGAATTAGGTCTAGTTAAAGCTCCTGACTGAATAAATTAAGCTTGTGAAAGACAAGCTTAGGCAATGCAACATTGTAATCAGTGAATTAAATAAAATTATTATTAATAATGTCTATTTTCTGTCGTCTTTAGACGTGCAAATTTGACATCTTACCGCGGATGTCAAAATATATGTTTTGGACCAATCCACGTTCCATATGCTTGAACTTCCTCTGTGACCTTAATTACCACAATACATGACCGTTACAACCTCCTAAATGATGATTAGAACCTGGAACCTCTTTAGTGACTACAAGAACCATCTAAAGAACAACTAGGACCACCTACAGACACCTAAAACCTCAGTGGCCATTGGAATCACTTTAAGTCCTCATAGAACCTCCTAAATAACCTCTAGAACCACCTGTGGATCCTCTGCAATGACTACTAGAACATCCCTAGGGACAACTAGAACCACATAAAGGACACAAAGAACCCATTCAATAACATCCTTAGAACCTAGAATGACCTAGAACTACCTCAGTGGCCAATGGAACCACTTAAAGTCCTCATAGAACCTCCTAAAAGACCTCTAAAGCCACCTAAAGGACCTGTAGAACCCATTCTAGAACCTCTAGAATCACATTAAGGACATGTAGAACCTTCTTGAGGATGAATGGAACCTTAATGACCCCCAGAACCAGTCAATTATCAATAGGACCACTTAAAGGACCACTAGAACCTCCTTAATGACCAGAACATCCTAAAGGATGACTTAACGATCTTTAGAACCTCATGTATTGTATATTGTGTATTAATGGACAGATGGGTGACAGGTGAAAGGTGGATTTTGTCCTGATGGTTGTGTGAGCTCAGCACACGGAGCTGGACCGTAGATCACAGATCTGTATTCTGGTGTTCTGCAGTAGTGAAGGTGCAGAGAGAATATTTTGATTTTCATGAAGCAAATGTTCTGTTCTGTTCAGCTGCAGCAGCTGGTGCTGACATCGTCAATACAACATGCATCACTGACAGACAGTACATCTGTGTGTGTGTGTGTGTGTGTGTGTGTGTGTGTGTGTGTGTGTGTGCTGCATCAGGCTGGATGTATTAAAGGAACAGTCCAACATTTCTTGTTCTCTGTCTCATTGTGCACCAACAGAGGTCCAGGATGTAGTTAGCTTAGCTTAGCCCAGAAACCAGAAGCAGGAGGAAACTGTAAACTGTTAGCTTAGCTCTAACACAAGAGAAGAAAAAACACCTTCCCAGACTTTAATGCCAGAAATATTGATCAGAATCTGTTTCAAGGAGAAAAATTATTTATGTCCTGGTGTGTTTGTGTGGGCGGAGCTAACTGACTGAAACAAAGACGCTGCAGACTGACCTAACTATCTACCAACATATGTTCCTACTGACTGATGTCCTGAACCAAACAGTGGACCTGTAAGTGAATAGCAGACATACACATGTATGTATGGGTAGTCTATACACACTGATGGGCGCACACGGGATCCTGTTCTAAGTTCTTTTAGTTCACCGTTGTCTGTAGTGAGCTCTACATCTCTACATTGGTTCTTAAGTCGTGTTATTGTACAGTGACAATGAATGGACTGTGCTTTTCTTACTGGTGGTGCTGGTGTCAGCGGTTCAGACGCAGGCACAGGTTCAGGCCTGCCCTGGCCACATTGATGAAGTCACAGATGTGGTCAGTTCCTGGATATCATACTGTGAGGACATTATTATTCCTGTAGTCTGACTCACTTGATGTAGGCTGTAGACATGAACCTGTCAGTGGGCGTCTAGTTCTCCTCTCTCTCCTCTTCCCCAGCCTGTTACTGTTTTCAAAATCCCCTTCCCTACAGGAAACACCAACAACCTCAGACCTGCAGCCTACTGTACACACTGAACATGGTGAGTTTTGATGAAGATCTGGATCCTGTGCAGTAACACAGTCAACGTACGTCTTGACTGTTTTTTGTGTTTTCTTTGAGGAGAATCAGCTGATTTAATGACAGAACTCACCTCCATGTGTCTAAATGTTCCACCAAGACAAGTTTCCCTGCAACACTATTTTGCAGGAGCACCGTCACTTCTTCCTACCAATCCACCACTGACCCACTGACCTTCATTTCTACGTACTGACTGACCCACTGACCAACTGACCAATGTACACATTTATAGATCAAACCACCTACCTACCAACTAATCTACCGTCTAACCTACCTACTACCTAACCTTCCAACTAAAATACCTACTGTACTACCTACTGACATACCTACCAACTAACTTACCTACTAACCTACCTACCAACCTACCTAATAACTAACCTACCTATTGCCCTACCTACCTACCTACCATCTAACCTACCTGCTAACTAACCTATTCACCAACCTACCAAAATAACTAACCTACCTACTAACTTACCTACTAACCTACCTACCTGATAACTAACCCATACTACCTACTAACCTACCTTCTGGCCTACCTACTGACCTACTATCTAACCTACCTACTGACCTACCCACCTACCAACCTACCTACCAATTAACCTACCAATTTACCTACCAACTAACCTACCTACTAAATAAACCATGCGCAAACTGGCTTACGGTCACACCCCGTCCAGCAGGACTGAATCAGGTTTTCCAAACTGGAAGCTATGACTTGTTGGTATTGGAAGAATTCTGGGTAATGTAGTGTGGTCGGTTGACTGGATCACTGACAACAGACAGCAGAATAACTGAAGGAAAGTCCACTCAATGTTCAATCAGACTGAGTCCATTGTTATTAATAGACTTCTATAAGAGGACTAACACACACACACAGTGCTGTTTCCATCACTTGTGGGGACATTACATTGACTTACACTCATTTCCTTGAGACTCATTTACATTATGAGAACTGTATGAACTTCATGAGTTACACACACATTTACATTTATCCTGTAAAAAACAGCCCACAGTTCATTTGTGCAGCTGTTATTATATTATTATATTATATTATGCTTTTATTACATTATTATGACCCATAGTAACGTTGTATTGTTGGGCGACCTCTAGTGGCTGTTGTTATTATGACAGGAGCAAAGGAGGAAATCAGGTAACAGAGTCCAAGTCCGGAGGAGGTGGACTGACACAGAAGACTGGAAACTGATAGGAAGTGTTGTTTGTTTCATCCACCTAAACCGTGTGTTTCTTATTGTTACCATGATGATGAACGTCTGGTACACCTGCTGCTTGTACTCTCCTCTGAGTCGTGTCCGAGGGTTGGGACGAATGACCTATGCGGTTGTTTAGTTTGGAGGACTTGAGCTGCATCGACCAATCAGATCAGCAGAGTCCTCTTAGGTTGTATCCTTTGATGCTGAGGTCAGAGGTCAGAGGGTTTGACAGGGAAGATGAAGGTCTGCAGTGAGAACAGCCTGACAGATGTAACTGAAACCAACAGAGCATCCGATGGTCCTGACTAGTAAAATGCAGCCAGTCAGTGTGATGAATAATCAATAAGTTTATCCACAGCTGATGTAGCTGCAGTATTGATCATCTGACCGGTTTCTGATCCTCCATGAATAATTCATCAGCCTGAGAGGAGAAAGAAAACAGCGACTCAGCAGAAAACAGAAAATCAGCCTGTGTCCTGGAGGACTGATGACCTTGAGGACTGATGACCTGTTGTTGGATTTTGATGATGATGATGATGGTCATGATTTAACCAGGTTGTATTTAGTTCAGAGTAGAGTTTGACTACAGCACAGTGTTCACAGGTACATGGTGCTTAGGAAGGTCATGAAATGCGGACTGAATGTTTGTGTGATTATGGTTAATTAGACGATGATGATGATGATGATGATGATGATAACTTGGCTCTGATGCCTGAGTCACTCACTGGCCTGGAGCCAAAGCCTCATAGGAGCTGTAGTACAGTAGCTGTGTCACATAACAGAGAGTTTCACATAACTGTGGTCTTGATGTTTCAGGTTTATTTTGAATTTGATATTGTTGTTTTAAATTATTCCTTTTAGCCAACCAGCTGCCAGGAAGCACCAAGGTTCAGCCAATGAGCTGCAGCCGTCAACAGACCACAAACGTCTCTGTCAGCACCAACAACCAGACGTCATATGGAAGCTATTACTGTGTGTGTGTGTGTGTGTGTGTGTGTGTGTGTGTGTGTGTGTGTGTGTGTGTGTGTGTGTGTGTGTAGGCTGTTTTTACAATCAGCTGATTTCATCCACAGACTGTCTCAGTTCAGCTGAATGAAGCTGTGAAGATAAAACTGCTGAGTCATGGACATCAGACTTCTTCAAACTTTATTGATAATCCTGATTAGAACACACACACACACACACACACACACACATACCTTACTCTAACTATAACCATCACAACTAAACCAACCTCTATCCTTAACCTCGACCTAACACTAACCTAAACCTGAACCAGAACATGAGTCTAACCTGAACCCTGAAACCACATCTGTCTGAAACAGGTATTTCTTAGTCTACTTGTGCTTGAACAAAGTTTTCACAGTCACTGTTTTAATTCGACTCCTGCTTAAATCAGATGTAGGATGTGAGTGAGATGGGTGAGGTGTGACAGGTGAGGTCTGAGGTGCGTAAGGTGACAGATGAGGTGTGACAGGTGAGTTGTGTGAGGTGACCTGACAGAGGTGTGTCATTCCCACGTTGTTCAGGTTGTACTGAAATTCTATTTCTGGTCTGAAGTGAATTGTATTTCAGTCTGGATCTGGACCCTCCCTATTGAGTTTGTGAGATTAACTTTTTGCCTAGTCAAATAGGACAAGAGGCTTTTATTATGGCAGTGTGTGGCTGTGGCCTTTCTCCTGTATCATCATCATTTTGACCCCCTCCCCCCAGGTCCCTCCTCCTCCTCCAGTCCCAGCTTGCTGACTAAGAGTCTCTCTCTGGAGCCGTCCTGCTCTCCGTGCGGCCACCAGGGGGTGCTGGATGCTGACACTCCCCAGCAGCCGAGCTCCGACCCGGGGCCCAGCTTCTCCTCCTCAGGCCCCGCCTCCCTGGAGGGAGGGGCGGGGTTAACGGAGCGCCGAGGGTCTGCTATTGGGCTGCTGCTGGTCAATGACACAGGGCCGCCGGAGCTGCCAGCTACCACAATAGCACCACTGAGCAAGAGCCGACCGCCGCTGCCGGGGCCCAAACCTCAGGGTAAACTTCATTTTAAATATTTATTTTTCTTTATTTAAAGATCAAAGACATTCATGATATCACTAACTGACTTGTGACCCCGCCCTCCACAGTTCCCCCAAAGCCCCCCCACCTCCAGCAGCAGGCAGGGGTGTCAAGGCCACGCCCCAGGGCTCCAGAGAAGCCCCTCCCTCCGCCCCCACCTTGTAGACCCCTCCCAGCGGACCCCCGAGGGGGCCGGACTCTGCCAACCCGTGCCGATGGCACTGCTTCCCCGACCTGTGTCCTGTCACTCATCGAGAAGTTTGAGCGGTGAGTTCTGACTGGTCAGAGGAGGTGTGATGTCATCATTTAAGATTTTAATGAGATTTTACTTAGTGTTTATTGTGTTTATTGTGTGTCTGCAGCGAGCAGATCATCGTGGTTCCTGACATCACTGGGGGGGCTCTCTGTCCCCGCTTAACTGACCCCCCCTCCTCCCTCTCCTCCTCTCGACCTTCATCACCACCATCATCATCATCCCCTGCCCCTCCCCCATATGATGAGGAGCTGCCCTCTGAGGTCAAAGATCACGATGAAATCACAGAGGGGGTTGAGGAAGAGGAAGGAAAACTACATAATGATGAAGATGATGAAGATGATGATGATGATGATGAAGAGCTGGTGGCGGCATGTCGTGACGACCTCCATCAGAAGCGTCTGTCCATGGAGTCGGGTTACAGCGCCTCAGAGAAACACCTGGAGGATGATGTGGTTGCCGTGGAAATGAGGGAGCAACAGCAGCAGCAGCCGCTCGACCAATCAGAGCTCCCCTCGGAGCGTCTGTCCCTCCCCTCGTCACAGACTGACGGGAAGCTGGCCAATCGGGACAGCGGGATTGACAGCATCAGCTCTCCGTCACACAGCGAGGAGCTCTGCTTCGCAGGTGTGGATGACGGGGTCGTGGCTTATCCCTGCAGCCCCGCCCTCCTGCCCCGCCTCTCCAGCTCGTCCTCGTACGCGGGGGAGGGAGGGGAGGGGGAAGGAGAGGGGGAGGTGAGAGGAGCGGCGAGGAGGAGGAGGGAATTCTCTGAGGAGGGAGACAGTGACCTGGAGGAGGAGGAGGCTGAGCTAACTCTGGTGCTGCCACCCCCCAAGACAGACAGGCAGGATTCTGCTGAGGTGAGTCAAAGTCTCTGTTTTCTGTGATGTTGGGTTCGTGCAGATGTTTGACGCCGTGTCTCCATCCAGATGTCGGTGCAGCAGAGGGTCTTCAACATCGCCAACGAGCTGCTGCACACAGAGACTGCCTATGTCTCCAAGCTCCACCTCCTGGACCAGGTGAGTCACCTGCCCTGAACATGGACCACCTCTTCTTCTGTCACACTGCTGAGTGTGTCACTGTTGCCATGGAAACCTCACAGTATTTACTGGTGTTAACAGTTTCAGCTGTGGAGTCGTTCTGAGTCTCAGTCTCGGGGTCCTACTCCTGCAGGAGGGTGGGGGTCTTTACAGGTGTAGGAGGGTGGGGATCTTTACAGGTGTAGGAGGATGGGGGTCTTTACAGGTGTAGGTGGGTGGGGGTCTTTACAGGTGTAGGAGGGTGGGGGTCTTTACAGGTGTAGGAGGATGGGGGTCTACAGGTCTGAGTCCAGGGCCCAGAGTCTGATCATCTGTCCTCAGCTGCTGGTTTTTGATCTCTTAAATCCATGTTCAGTTTGTCACTGCAGAACCAGAACCTTAATTCTGAGTCCTGGACCAGTCTCTAAACCGGCCCCTGCTCTGCTCCTGCAGGTCTTCTGTGCCAGACTCCTGGAGGAGTCCCGGTCTCGCTCCTCTTTCCCCTGTGATGTGGTTCAGGGAATATTCTCCAACATCTGCTCCATCTACTGCTTCCACCAGCAGTTCCTGCTGCCAGCGCTGCAGAAGCGGATGGAGGAGTGGTGAGAATGAGTTTCCTGGTCCTGGTCCTGGTCCTGGTCCTCCTCAGGACTTGCTCTGACTCTGATCCTCCTTTGTCTGCAGGGATTTGAACCCACGAATTGGGGACATCCTGCAGAAGCTGGCTCCCTTCCTGAAGATGTACGGAGAGTATGTGAAGAACTTCGACCGAGCCATGGAACTGGTTAACACCTGGATGGAGAGATCAGCTCAGTTCAAGGCCATCATCCAGGAGATCCAGGTCCAGATCTCTGCTGCTCCTCAGTATGATGAGGGTCATGTGGTTGTTTAGTCAGTTTAGATCTGATCATTTGTGTGTGTGTCTGTTTGTGCAGAGGGAGGAGCGTTGTGGTAACCTGACTCTGCAGCACCACATGTTGGAGCCGGTTCAGAGGATCCCACGCTACGAGCTGCTGCTCAAAGACTATCTCCACCGGCTGCCAGAGGACGCCCCAGACTACAGGGACGCCCAGAGTACGACAGACAAACACACCCAACATAAGTGCACTGACAGACTGACATTCACTTCCTCTGCTAGCTTTAACAGTTCATGTGTAGACTCTCACAGTCAGATGAGGTTCTTAAGGAACATCCAACATGAGCCCTGGTTCTTCTCAGAACCAGAACCTTGAAGAACCAGTGATTTAAGATCAGAGTTTTTAAACTTATCAAAGCACCAGTAGGATGACTGTAGATCAAACCTCTGTGACAAAGATCGAAATCCTGGTCGTCAGACAGATCAGGGTTGAGGACCAGGGTTTCTTCTCAGTGACCTTCAGACCTGTTAGTGCTGAGTGGGAGCTGCTGCAGCTGAACCGGATCTGTTCTATGGTTTGTTTAGAGTTTGTTACTGACCTCACATCCTGATCTGCTGTCCCCCTCTGGTCAGGGGATTAACTGCTGGCTGCAGTTTCAGGTTTTCCAGTGACTGTGACATGATTCTGTCTTTGAGACTCAGTAAGTTTGGACTCTATAGGTCACATGGTCATGAAGTTTGTGCTGCATACAGATGGTCCACAGGGACCCTCGTGAACATGGGCAGATGACAACTTATGAACACTTGTGTCCCCTGCTCTCTGCCTCACCTGCTGAATGCTGCAGGTCTGTGGTCTACCTGCAGGTCTGTGGTCTGTCTGCAGTTTTGTGGTGTGTCTGAGTAAACCACCTGCTGGACCATCTTCTGCTGGATCTGAATGTTTTGGTTCAGATGAAGAGACTGGCTCTCTCTGTAAACACTGTCTTCTTCTTCTCTGCAGAGTCTCTGGAGCTGATCGCTACAGCAGCAGAACACTCCAATGCTGCCATCAGGAAGATGGTAACACACACACACACACACACACACACACACACACACACACACACACACACACAGATCAGTGTGACTCAGATGAAACTCTGTCATTAACTGTCACTTCATCTTTAATTGAACTGCTCTGATTACACTCATTAACTCAACTGCTGCTTCATGTGTGTTTGATTCAGCTCCATCACGTTTCCTACGTTAAGGTTCCACAGAAACTCCTCAGGAACAGAATCAATATCTGATGTTTTTGATTTGTTGATCGATTGATTTTTTCTTTCAGTTATTTTTTCCCCTGGTCCTGATTGCCAGGTCTTTAGCTCAAACCTCAGAAACTCGTGGTAACCAGGTGAGCTGGACAGGAAGTCACTGTCACCCACCACCTGGTTACAGACCCAGGAAACTGAACCTCAGGTTCTCTTCCAGGGACTGAGACCCACATCTCTCCTGGGCATCCTCCCCCGAGAGAAGAATCAGACCTCTGCATGGGGACCTGATTTCTCTGTAGGACCTGAGCCCCAGGTCTGTCTCGGTGTACTGAACCCCAGGTCTCTTCTGGGGAACTGCAGTCTAATTCTGTCTTTGAGAAAAAGACCAGTAATATATCAGGAAAATATTGATATTATAATTGTGTTAAGTGGTCCTGGGGGTACAAGTTGCAGTAGACCACAGACTGCCCCAGTGCTTGGTGATCTGACTGTTCTCTAGGCTTAGGGCAGAAATCTGGACTTGTGAAGTCCAGGCTGAGTGAGTCCACTTCGCCCCAGCAGGATGTGTGTCGTCTCTAATTAACTCAGTGATTAGAGGAGAGCTGCAGCTCAAGTGTCAGCTCAGTCTCACAGACTCTCAGTGGTTTGTCCTGGCAGACACTCAATCCAGGACTCTGTGGCTCCAGCTCCCCACCCCCCACCCCCCACCGTGGTTTGTGCTGGTCTGTCCGAAGGAGTGGACGTCTGTTACAGCATTTATCAGCATTTGCTTTTTTTAAAATTTATTTTCTATCCTTCACATTTTCTTATCAGCAAATTAAAAATGCACACAGACACATGAGTCTCCGTGGTAATGACATCATCACATACCCATAGGTGTTGCGGCTCTGTCTGACTCTACCTGTGTCTCTGTCTCTGTCAGGAGCGAATGAGGAAGTTGTTGAAGGTGTACGAGTTGCTGGGAGGAGAAGAAGACATTGTTAACCCCACTAACGAGCTCATTAAAGAAGGACACATCCTCAAACTGTCCAATAAGAACGGGACCACGCAGGACAGATACCTCATACTGGTATCTACTGTCCTCCACTCTGTCCACCTCTGTTCTACTGTCTTCCACTCTGTCCACCTCTGTTCTACTGTCTGTCCTCTTTTGACCTGGTGCAGTGACATCGTCTCTCTCTCTGCAGTTTAATGACAGGTTGCTGTATTGCGTCCCCAAGCTGCGTCTGATTGGTCAGAAATACGGCGTCCGCGCTCGCATCGACGTGGATGGCATGGAGGTAAGAAACAGAGGGCTGTCCTCTGTCTTCTGTCCCCTGTCCTCTGATATCTGACCTCTGTCCTCTGTCCTCTGTGCTCTGACCTCTGACCTCTGTCCTCCAGCTGAAGGAGACCAGCAGTGTTGCAGTCCCCAGGACATTCCTGGTGTGTGGAAAGCAGAGGTCCCTGGAGCTACAGGCCAGGTACAGACACACACCTTACTCCAGCAGTGAGGTGCATGTTACTGGGAACCAGTCGGCCCAGAGCTATGTTGTCTTCTGACTGGTTTCCTGTCTATGTCTCTGCAGGACGGAGGATGAGAAGAAAGACTGGATCCAGGTAGACACACTGTCCTGGTTTCTGCCGACCTTGCCTCAGTGATGTACAGGTGTACAGGACCCTCTGACATCACTGCTGGGCGTGGTCACATGAACAGTCTGGTGTTCAGTTACTCTGATGACAGTGACACTCACAACTTCCTGAGCAAATGTTTAAATTAAAATCAATGCAGGATCTCACCTTTAAGGCTTTTGTTGTGAAACATCTACAGGAAGTTTTGACCTTCACTGACAGCAGCTTAACATCACCTGGTTTTCATGTGACTCTGATATGTATATGAATGAATTGGAGAATTATCAGTATTGTATTTATATCTGTGTGTGTGTGTGTGTGTGTGTGCGTTTACGTTTGCGCGTTTGTTCAGGCCATCCAGGCAACTATTCAGAGACATGAGCAAACCGTGGAGAGCTTCAGACATCTGAATTGTTCTCTACGAGATGATGAGTCCACACCACCTCACTCCCCGGTAACACACACACACACACACACACACACAGTCTACACAGTGTATTATAATCAGATAGAACAGCACTTGCAGACCTGAAAACATTTTCCACACTGATCTTCAGTATACACAGAACATCTGTCCAGCTGTTGACAGGACAGCTGTCCAGCTGTTTACAGAACACCTGTCTCCCCCAGAGCTGTGTGGAGCTTGGGAAGCGTGCGCCGACTCCGATCAGAGAGAAGGAGGTGACTCTGTGTATGAAGTGTCAGGAGCCGTTCAACTCCATCACCAAGAGACGGCACCACTGTAAAGCCTGTGGACACGTAGGTCCATCATCACACATCTGTATTATATCATTTAAACATCTGTACCTGCAGACACCTTCACTGATCGTCTGTGTTGAACCCAGGTGGTTTGCGGTAAATGTTCGGAGTTCCGTGCTCGTCTGTCGTACGACAACAACCGCACTAACCGTGTTTGTGTGGACTGCTATGCCACACTGGTGGGAGTGCTGCCCTCGCCCGCCACGCTGACCAGCAGCACCCAGAGGAGGCGATCCATCCTGGAGGTTAGTGTAGCATCACTGTGATATCACTGTGACATCACTGTGAACTGTGTGTGCTGATATTTTAATATTTCTAAAAGACTTCTCAGTTGAGTTTTGAAGAAAGCTGATATGTCTCCATTTGACTCTTGTTGCCATAGAAACAGGCCTCGCTGGCAGCAGAGAACAGCGTGATTTGTAGTTTTCTTCACCACATGGAGAAAGGAGGGGGGCGGGGCTGGCAGAAGGCATGGTTTGTCATCCCTGAAAATGAGCCGCTGGTGCTCTACATCTATGGAGCTCCACAGGTATGTTAGTCACTCAGTCACAAATACACAATCCTCCCACTGGTCTGTGGCCATGCTATAATACCCATGATGCACCCTGAAGCGCCCATGTGTAGAACGCAGATGAACTGTTTCTGTTACTCCACCAGGACGTGAAGGCGCAACGCAGCATCCCTCTGATTGGCTTCGAAGTCTCTCTACCTGAGTCATGTGACCGCCTGGAGAGACGCCACGCCTTCAAGATCTCCCAGAGTCACCTGACCCTGTACTTCAGCGCTGAGGGGGAGGAGCTACAGCGGCGATGGATGGATGTCCTGTTGAGGGCCGGGAGGGGGGAAGAGTTTCAGGTCCACCGGCCAATTGTGGAGAGTCTGGAGGAGGAGGGGGAGGAGCTAGCAGCTGCAGCGGACTGCGAGAACACGTGATTCTATTGGATGAGGAACAATGACGATGATGAAGGCAGGGTCTTTAGAAGAAGATCAGTCGCTATTGGAAACCAGTACAAAACCAGTGCATACAGTCGTAGCTGAAATATACTTTAAACACACACACACACACACACACACACACACACACACACACACACACACACACACTCTGCGCTCTCTGTATATTTAAAGTGGTTCGTCTGCATGATTTCTCCTTGCTGTCAACACAAGATGGCGTCTCTCTCTCTTGATTCACCTGTGTTTCACCTGTGAGGTGAGGTGGGCGGAGCCTCTGGTCACACATTTACCTTGTCGTCATTGTAAATTCTCACAGTAAGCTTTCAATGATAACCTCAGAACTCAAACAGCAGTCTCCTGGATTTCTCCCCTCAGTTTCATCTGTGGAAGGTCTCTAAACACTACAGTACCCATGAGCCCCGGCTGCATTTGCTATGGAAACGCCCCCACCCAGAGCTGTGACAGAGTTGTATCATATTGAGAAAACTGACCCAAAATCCCATGTGAACTTTTGAAATGAGTAACTATATCCAGTTAGTTCATCCCGCCCTCAGCTGCATGGCAACAAGAGTCTGAAGCTCATTCATTGGTCCATTCTTGTGATGCAGTCAACCATAAAATCAGCTTCTGTGTCTGTAGTTATGGGCCCAGTCACCACATGTCTACTGATGGACCACTGCAGCTCCTCAGCTTCTTCTTCTTCTGTGGTGTTCATTTATATTTTAGTCTCTAACTCACTTTTTATCAACCACAGTTATTGTAAGTTCAGTGATTTAATGTGCGTTTCTCCAGAGTCACAAAGGTCAAAGGTCAGTTCACTCTTTATCACTGTATGTTCAAAAGCTTCAGGAGACAAATTCAAACTCACAGTCTAAACCCTGACATCAGGTCCAGTCCTCAGTCTGTTTCCAGCTCTCACTGTCCTGAGTCCCTGAGCATCCACACAACCTGCTCATTTATCTGAGAATATGGACAATAAACCAAGACCACCACCTGCAATGAGAGAATGAGCTACGGAGGCTGGTGGATCTGCAGCAACAGGGTGGGACCCCACCTGGACCCAGACTGAAGATAATCCAGCCCGGCTCCCTGAATCACGTTCATACCGCCCAATTTTAGAGCTGGAGGTAGTCTTACCACTGCTGGATGTATTAATGTGATTTGTCTCAATGGCTGATCAGGGTGCTGCAACAAAAAACAACAGACCTCCATTAAACAAACTGTAGGCGACTCCAGCTGCAACAAGCTCTGTCATCACTGTGTGTTTGAATCCAGGGTCTGTAGGACAGAATAGATATTAGGCTTTTGCTTTAGTTTCGGCTGTGGGGGTCTGGGTGGTGGGTGCATATTCAGTTCATCAGACCTTCATGCAGCTGACCAGAGTCCAGATCCTGCACAACCTCTGTCCACCATGAACCAGACTGTAGCACACAGTCTGTGAAGAGTAACATTGATGTAATGTGAGGTTTCACAGAATCACCTGATATGATCGTTGTCTGGAGATGGGGGCTGATCCTGACCCAATCTGACTCAGGTCCATCAGTAGCACCTGAGCCCATGAAGACCACGACGACCATAAAGACCATAAAGACCATAAAGACCATAAAGACCATGAAGACCTCTACTGTGTGTTTACTTCGTCTCTCAATGAAAACGTGTGGAATGGATTAACAAGCACATACAGGCATATGGAGCCCCCCCCCCCACCTTGGTTCAGTCCCATTGAGAGCTGAGGAGTCGACCCTCAGCCTGCCATGATGCAGCTGGTGTTGTCACCTCAGACGATCAGATTAGAGGAGGTTCTTCTTCTCTGTTTTTAAAGACTAAAGTTGAGCTGGTTTCCAACAGGAAGTGGATCTAAACTGTCAGACTGTTGACACAACAGATGACACGCTGTCAGAGTTTTAAAAGAAGAAGAAGACTACTCCGTCCTCTTTAAATGCACTTAAAAGACATTTCTTAATTTTTCATTCAAATTTCCCCTGAAGAAAAAAATCTGCAGATTTCTATTCTCTTTCTGTGTTTGAGCTTTTAAAACTTCCTGTCCTTAGTGACCTCGCTGCTGATGTCTGACCTCCAAACTTCTCATCACCTACATGTCCCAGCATCCTCTGCTCTGAGGTGTGGACTCTCTGCAGGTGCAGGTGGTTTTTCACTGTCCTGGAGAAACCTCATCAACACTTTATGGATTAAACTTTTTAACTGAAGGTGAAATTAATCAGCTGCAATGATGAACCTGAGAGATACAAGGTTTCTGCAGGACACTGATGATGTCAGACTCAGGAGATGGGGGGCGGTGGTGGAGGATTTTTGGAGTTGGATGTAAAAAGTCAGTTTTTAAAGACAGTTTCAGGCAGATGGAGACATGAAGAGTCTCTGAGAGGAACCGGAAACCAGACTGGACTGAACCCTGAACCCCGGTCTGGTGGACCCGCTGGTTTCTGTGTCTTGGATTTTTTAAATGAATCCAGCAATTAGACGGAGCTGAATCCAGAAGAAAAGACTAGTTGTTTTTATCATCTTCACTTCCAGTGGTCCAGTATTTCTGTCTCTGTAAACAGCTTTTGGACAAAGTGTTTTGATAGTTAAAAAGTAAATATTATGAATATTGTTATTGTTATTCTGATGAATCTAAATGAAAAGAGACGTGTTGGATATTTCTGTGTTTATGAGTCTGGGTTGTGTTTGATGTTTGCTTGATGCAAGAAGAAAACAAAGAGTAAACATTTTGTAAATATAATTTATTCTCCTGTGACCCACCCTCTCCCCCCAGTCATGTGACTATGTAAAGATTAAAGGTCAATCCTTGCTGTTCCTCCACACTCCGCAGATCTCCACACAGCCAGAGCCCAGCAGATGGTTTGGGGTCCAGAAGTGGCCATGTTGGCTCCACAGGGTAAAGATTAAAGGAACAATCTGACATTTTAATAAATCCTCTGGTTCAGTGTCTCAGAGTCCCTCAGACGAAGACCACTCTCATCTCTGTCTGTCCAGTATAGAGAGAGGTCCAGGACGTAGTTAGCCTAGCTTGGCATAAAGACTGGCAGGGGGAAATTAAGAAAAACACCAACAACAAGAAAAACACCCTACAATACCTTAACACAAAAAGGTTTTTAACAGGTTTAATGTCTGAAATTTTAACATCATTTTAAAAGGTAAAAACTTTGTATCTTCTTCTCAATCAGCAAAAATGTTGAATGATTAGCAAATTCAGTGGTGGCTAAATTGATAACAGATTGAACACTGCTGATTGAGGCCATTAATTTAGCTTAATCTGGCTAGCTGCTAAACGCTACTTTAACCGAGAGCTAATAACTCTAGCTAACGAGGCTAATCTGTGGTTTGCTGGTAAACACTACCTGTGGGGCTAACTAACGACTTGATAAGTTCACTGTTCACTGTGCTGTTGGTTAACAACATTAAATACCAGCTGATGCTTTGGAGTTTTATTCCTCTATGGATAGAGCTAGAATAACAGCCCCCCCCCCCTACTCCCAGTCTTTGTGCTAAGCTAGGCTAAACATCAATGAGATGAAACTGAAGGTTTTGAAAACTGAATTTCTCAAAATTTTGAGCTCTTCTTTAAGCTCTACCCCCGCCACTGGCCTGAGGCTCGGTCTGTACACGGCTCTGGTTGTCGCGGCGTGTTTTTGGCGTGTAAAGCAGGCTCCAGTGGTGTGTCGTCCTCTCCTCCCTCAGTGGAAGGAAATGGCCAGTAACTCAGCCTGAGAGTTCATTTTCAGCAGTTGTTTTGATGTGGTAAAATGTTTTCAATATTAATCTGAGTGATTTGTGTTGATGCTGAATTTTGCTTCTTTTTTTGAGTTTTCTGTTTTCTGTTGCCAGAGACATTTGGAACCAGTTCTGACTGGTTCTGACAGGTTCTAACCAGATCTGACTGATCCTAACTGGTTATGATTTGTCCCAACTGGTTTGACCGGCTCTTACCGGTTCTGACTGGTCCTGACTGATTCTAACCAGTTCTAAGCAGTTCTGACTTGTTCTGAGTGATCCTGACTGGTTCTGACTGGTTCTAACCAGTTCTTACCAGTTCTGACTGGTCCTGACTGGTTCTGATTGGTCCTAATTTGTCCTGATTGGTTTATCTGGTTCTGACTGGTTCTAATTGGTTCTAACCAGTGTATGTATGATATAGTTGAACCATGGTTTGTTGTATCTTGTATCTAGAACGTGAGCATTTCTTGTTATTTGGTCTGGTACCACGTCGTTACACAACCAGTTACAGACCAGTTACAGACCAGTTTGAGGCAGTTATGACTTGAGATGAGTCTGACTACATTTTTTTTAGATGAGGGAGTTTTTTAAATTTAGATTTTAAATTTGGGGTTGTGGTTGATTTTTCAAAATGATACTCAAGTATTTTTCCCACTAACACAAGTTAGCTCTGGCCAGCTCCCTCCCCCAACACATGTCTCTACTTATAACCAGTTAAAGCCACTTTTTACCTGCAATAAGACCAGTGTTTATTGGTTCAAACAGAAATGTTTTCAGCCAGTTTGGACCAGTTAGAGCTATTACCAGTCAGCAAAGACTAAGTCCAGTCAGTATAAAACTAATAGCAGCTGTAGTTAAAACCAGTTTGAACTGGTTCTGTCACACTGGACTGTCCATCTATGACTTTCCTGGTTTACAGCTGATTCAGTTTTTTGCCTTACAGTCTCTGAGTTTATTGAACTTGTGCCAAATCTGAAGAGTCAGTTCCTGTCAGTGTTCAACCGTTCACTCTGTGCTTTTGTATTTATTTCTCATTTTTAATATTGAAATTTTTTTTTTACTTCCTGTCTGTTCTGATCCTGATAAGTGTGTTTCTCTCACTTCCTTCACCTGTTCAGACCCTGTCAGATGGTAAGTTTCACAGACTGTTAATGGCTGCTGTTACCCATGTTTACTGAACGGAGAGGTCAGGGGCCCCTGGGCCAGAGTCTTTGTTTGAGGTCAACATTTGAAAGTTACAAAGCTCAGTTAAATGACACAAAGCTACCACAAAGTCAAAAAATACAAAGAGACTAAAAAATGTGATTGCCTACCTTCAATATAAGGAGTTCTATACAGGAGGGATGGGGGCCTATTACCGGTCTGTGCCCAGGGGCCCATGTTCTCATAATCTGTCCATGCTGTTACCATGGAGACTACCAGGATTTCCCCTCTGAGATGAGGCTGAAACACACCTGAAACAAACCACAAAATGTTTATATGGATATGGGTACATTTTTCTAAGATGGCTGTTAAAGAACCAATCAGAGGAGGACTAGGTGGTGATGTCATGTAGCTGATTGACATCCTTATTATCTCTGACTTCTTGCTACAGTAACTGCAGTCCGTGCAGTTACTGTAGGTTTCTGGAGCAGCATGTTACCATGGTGACCTCCAGGTTCCCAGAGCCTCATTCCCCAGCGCTGGTTACCATGTTACCATAGCAACCACTAGACTCTAGTTACCATGACAACAGCACCCACCACCATGTCTGTCTCTCTCTCTCTCTCTCTCTCTCTCTCCGGGTGGAACAGCAGCATGGTTGTGTCTTTTTCATCTCCTTGTAGTTCTGGTATCTTCTTATTATTGATTATTGATTATTGATTGCAGGTTATTGGTTAGTGGCCGGCCACTGCCTTCCATCCTGTCCATATCTGTTTCCCATCATGCCCTTCTATAAGAAAATAAAGGAGAATTGTTTATGAGGTTATAAATGAAATAAAATCATGAAAACTGTTTACGTGACTGCAAGTATTTCTACTGTCACTGTTTAGCACTACTGCTACTACTGCTGTCACTGTCATTCAGTAAACTTTGAGTTGTTTCGAACATTAACAGATGAAGCAGCAGCACCATCTAGTGACGTCAGCAGGAAACAGCTGATACCTGAGACTGCAGGTAAAGATGTGACATATTCTATACAAATATTAATGTCTCCAATGTTTTTATTCGGGGGGGGGGGGGGGGCCCACTAGACTGCAGCAACAAAACAGCCCTCATCACGTACTTCAAAATAAAACACAAGCTAATTGACATCATCAGTGTGTTTACATCGTTACACTAATGCTTTACCTTCATTAGAGACCCAATAAAGACGCAGTTCTTCCTCCAACACTGTAACAATAACCCAGTAATTAAATATAAAGGCTAATAGGAACTTTTCAATTCGCATCAGGACATTTTTATGATGACGTCTGTATTTTTGAATGTTCTATATTTTAACAGTGAAGTGTTTAATCTTCCTCCAGCGGCTGCAGGTAACTAAACATGCTCTACAGCTTCAGGTCTTAATACTGTTATTGTCTCATTTGCATTAATTTTATTTCATCATGTGTGTCGTAGAATCTGTGACGTCTTAGCGCTGATGAAACGTATAGTAAAAATTAAAACTTTCCCTCCGCTCCCCTCCTCACCTCTCTGATTGGTCAGCTCTAATGTCTTTCTGAGCTCGGCAGATCAGCTGACTGACGTCACCCCCCCCCCCCCCCCCCCCCCCCCCACCGCCCCTTCCCGTAACACCAGAGACAAATAAACAAGATGTCTCACTCTGCTTCACTCTCTGAGCCCCGAGGCGCAGCAGCAGCTCATTGGCTGTCAAAGAACCCAGCCGCATTCCTATTGGCTGGCAGTGACCAGAGCAACAGCTGATTGGTCGGAGAGAGCTCAGTCCAGGCGGAGAGACCCGCCTCTTGTAGGTGACTATCGCATAGAAACAGAAAAGGTAGAAAACACTTCAATCGGGTAGAAAAGCTGCTGTGACATACACATGAATCAACATGAGACATGGGTGTAAATCTTTTAATAGTAAATAATTTAAATAATAATTCTATAATTCTAATAAAATAAACTGATGTTTCAGTCTCAACAGACAACGTTTGATTATAGAGAATCACAGACCTCATTACAGGGAATGTGGTAACTTTGCATTTAGTATTGTCATTATTATTATTATTATTATTATTATTACTCTTGTTATTATTATCATTGTTGTTGTTGTTGTTGTGTCAGTCTGAAGTCTCTGTTAAATCCGATGCAGTGTTTGGTGTCTTGTGTTTGTGGAAACTGAAGTTGAAGTGTGTGTGTCTGGGTGAACTGTGTCTGATCTGTGTGTTGTAGTTCTGTGCTCACAGCTGTCTGCCCGTCTGTCTGTGGAACAGTCTGTGGTTCAGTGTTCAGGGCGCCTGGGTTCCTTCGGCAGCGAACTTGAACCTGAGACCTGTTCTTGATCTTCTTCTGGTGGCTTGGTCTTCCTGCTGGTCCTGGTTTTATCCACAGGGGTCCCGGGTCTAAGTCCGACGGTCTCTGCTGGACTGAACATGTTTCTGTCTCTGCTGCAGTGATTTCACAACACTTTGATCCTCAGTCCGGTCTCTGCTCGTTAAAACGTCTCTGTCTCAGGAGAAATGTCAGCTCTAAGCCCGGACCAGATCCTGACCGGACAGCACAGCCGAACCGGAGCCGAGCAGGAGCAGCAGGAGGCCGGGATCCTACAGCCGCAGACCGTGTTTGTCATCCTGGACTCGGCTGAAACACTCAATCTGGTCCGGTGAGTCCGGAAGTTCTGGGAGTTACCGTTATTCCTGCTGCGGGGAGCACCTACAACCAAACTCCGTTCAGAAATGTGTAGTTTTAACGCCGCTGTGCTCATCAGTACTAAGACATATCGTACTGACCATCACCGAAGATGTGATTTAGATGTATAGTTTCTTCTGGTGAAATCGGCCATTAAATTCTTCACCAACCACTTTGCTTTAATTTTATGCCAAGTAACATTCATTGCAGGTGCAGATAAGATAATTTGATAAGATTAAAATTCCTATATAAACAAATGTTTTTCTGTGTCTTAATAGATGCCGAATAGAACTGTAGTTCAAAAGGATTAAGGTAAATACTTCCATCTCGTTTGTTAGACAAATAAATGAGCGAGAAAGCACGCTGATTTTAAAATGCATGACGAGCTGCCCATGG